CGCCCCACACCCGCCAGGTGAGGCCTCTGCGCACGGCCCCACACCCACCACGTGAGCCCTCTGCGCACGGCCCCGCACCCTCCACGTGAGGCCTCTGCGCACGGCCCCGCACCCCCCACGTGAGGCCTCTGCGCACGGCCCCGCACCCCCCACGTGAGGCCTCTGCGCACGGCCCCACACCCGCCACGTGAGGCCTCTGCGCACGGCCCCGCACCTTCCACGTGAGCCCTCTGCGCACGGCCCCACACCCCCCACGTGAGCCCTCTGCGCACGGCCCCACACCCCCCACGTGAGCCCTCTGCGCACGGCCCCACACCTTCCACGTGAGCCCTCTGCACACCGCCCCACACCTTCCACGTGAGCCCTCTGCACACCGCCCCACACCCGCCAGGTGAGGCCTCTGCGCACGGCCCCACACCTTCCACGTGAGCCCTCTGCACACCGCCCCACACCCGCCACGTGAGGCCTCTGCGCACGGCCCCACACCCGCCACGTGAGCCCTCTGCACACGGCCCCACACCTTCCACATGAGCCCTCTGCACACCGCCCCACACTCCCCACGTGAGGCCTCTGCACATGCCCGGACACCCCCCCCATGTGAGCCCTCTGCACATGGCCCCACACCTTCCACGTGAGCCCTCTGCGCACGGCCCCACACCTTCCACGTGAGCCCTCTGCGCACGGCCCCACACCTTCCACGCGAGCCCTCTGCGCACGGCCTCACACCTTTCACGTGAGCCCTCTGCACACGGCCTCACACCCCGATGTGAGCCCTCTGCGCACGGCCCCATACTCCCCATGTGAACCCTCTGCGCACGGCCCCACACCTTCCACATGAGCCCTCTGCACATGCCCGGACCCCCCCCCCATGTGAGCCCTCTGAGCACGGCCCCACAACCCCCACCTGAGGCCTCTGCCCCATCAGTGTTCTTAACAGGAGCCTTTCCTTACTGTGAGATGGACGAGTCCACACAGCCCCAGCTGAAAGGGGTGTCTCGGGCCGCTGACTCCTGGCCCTTGGGGAGGAGCAACAATCTGATGGGCATGTGCCATTATCACTTCCCAATTAGAGTGATTCAAGTTAAAATTCTCTTTATCAAGACTGTCAGAAAAAAGTGAAACAGCCAGCCAGAGCCTGGGGGAGACTCACGTGTTTATGTTTTTTTTTGAGACAGAATTCTCACTGTGTTGCCTGGGCTAGAGTGAGTGCCGTGGCATCAGGCTACCTCACAGCAACCTCAAATTCTTGGGCTCAAGCAGTCGTCCTTCCTCAGCCTCCTGAGTAGCTGGGACTACAGGCATGCGCCACCATGCCCGGCTAATTTTTTTTCCTGTTTTTGGTAGAGATGGGATCTCGCTCTTATTCAGGCTGGTCTCAGCTCAAGCAATCCACCAGCCTCAGCCTCCCAGAGTGCTAGGACTATAGGCATGAGCCGCCGTCCCTGGCTTCATGTGTGTATTTTTGACAATAGTTTTATGCAGAATATGTAAAGAACACCTACAAGTTAGCAGTAAACAGATGAGCCAACTGAAACACGGGCACAAGACTTGAAGGGGCACGTCACAAAAGGACACATGAACCAATGAGTACATGAAAAGTGTCCAACATCACTCATCACAGAAATGCAGCTTTTATAGTGACAGTGAGACAGTGTCACGCACCCACCAGCAGGACCACGCTCAGACACGCGTGCCCGGCCATGGTTGCTCTCACACGCCGCCCACGGCACTGAGAAACGGATGACACCTGGAGAACGGTTTGGTTGTTTCCTACAAAGTCAGACAGACGCTGACCGAGGACCCAGCGATGCTGCCCTGGGTGTTTACCCAGAAGAAACGAAATCGCCCGTCTGCAAAGAGACGTGTGTGCGGATGTTCTAGCAGCTTCCTTCGGAAAGCCACATGCTGGGAACGACCCACACCTCCATTGACAACGGAGCAGAGGCGGCACCGCGGGACTGAGGAAGGGACTCCCCTCTGGCACATGCGTGTTGTACAGTTCTGGATAAATTTTGAGATTTTGGATGAATCTTAAAAACACATCACAGAAGGCTGGGCGCGGTGGCTCACGCTTGTAATCTTAGCACTCTGGGAGGCCGAGGCGGGCGGATTGCTCAAGGTCAGGAGTTCAAAACCAGCCTGAGCGAGACCCCCTCTCTACTATAAAAATAGAAATTAAT